GCCCTCAGCAGCGCTGGGCCTCTGGGCTCCTGGGGAGCGGGCAGAAGTCAGTCCCAGATGCACATTTTCCTCCTGACCCTTCTCTCAGGAGGAGCCTCCTCCATCTCATCCCTGTGGTCAGACCCGGCCCTTCGCCTTCTGCAGCCTTTCCTCGACCTCCTCAGCGGTTTCCATTTCCATCTGTGCCGCCTGCCTCTGAGTGACCACTGCGCCCGCGTCCGTTTCCAAAACTTCGGATGAGCCCTAGGGAGGCGTTATGATTCCTGCTGGGCTCTTGGATGGAACCATGTCCTTTCGGGTCCACACTGCGCTCCCCCAGCGGCTCCCACAGGACATGCTCCAGGGACCCCCAGGGGACAGCCAGCGGACTCCAGCTCTTGCCATACTGCTCCCCTAGAGCTTCCAGTAGCTCTGGGGGACCCCAGGTACTGCCCGCAGACAATATGCTCTTGAAGCAGCCAGGTACCCTGGGGAAAACCCACCCAAACACGGTCCCACCATCTCCAAACGCCCTCTGTGCTGAGCACAGATGCTGTACCATCACTGCGCTCACACACCTTCCTCAGCGCTTGCGGCCTCGCGGCCATGTTCTCACAGGGTTTCTGTTCTGCTCTTACTCCTCCATGGAGGCCCCGCGTCTGAACCCACCAGCGCTGCCCTCTGGGAGCAGTGCGACCCGGGTCATGGGATCCGCAGTCACCATGTCCTCGCAAACCTCAAAGCCTCCAAAGCACTGAGACCCCTGAGATGCCGCAGCCTCTCCCTCACCGCCAGGCTGGGGTCCAGCAGCAGCGGCCCGAGGGGGAGGGTGGAGGGGTCCAGGCCACTAGGTCCCCAGGATCCAGGAACACCAGCTGCTGCTGAACCAGCTGGGCCAGCCCCATGCAAGTGCACTCAGGACCTGGGCGCTGGGGGCTGGAGGTTTTCCAGAAGCTTCTGCCTCCTCTTGCTGGGTCCCTTTCTCTGCTGCTGCCAACTGGGCCTCATGGTCACCTGGAGGGAGAACTGAGGTCTCTTGAAGCGCTTGGTCCTGCTCTGGCAACATGAGGTCTGAGAGGGGATGGCAGCAGCGAGGTGGTGGTGGCTGCCCAGCTGGTAGTAGGGCCTTGAGGAGGAGGTGGTTCCTGGGGCAGCTCACCTGGGCCTGGGACTGCAGGGGCCACAGGGAAAGCAGTGCACAGGTGCAAGGGAGCAGTCATAGTTTTCTCTGTAGAAGTTATTGGGAGATTGAAACCACACAAGTCCCTGCAAGCAGAATTCCTCCCTCTCCCCCACCACCTTGCCAAAGTAAAAGCCCTGCACCCTCTCCTCTCCAGTCTCCATCCAAGCAGGTCTGACTTGCTGAGTGATGTTTCCTGTGCTTCTCAGGGGTTTTAATCAGGAGCATAATAACCATCCCACATCCCCTTGGTGTGTGTGTGTCATGAACATCTGTACCAGCTGCTGTGCCTCTGCTTCTGCATGGTATCCACTCCTCTGGGTGCTGTGAGCATGAGGACAAGACCAGGACTGTCACCCTGCGGGTCCTTCTTCTGCAGCTTTGGGGTCACACTCATTTGGTGCCCACGGTCTAGCATTCAGGGGAGCTGCACTGTTGAGTCATTAGAGACTCTTGCTAGATTCAGGTGACGTGGGTCAGAAGATTTGATGATAAAACTCATTATGGCACCACTGTGCCTGAAAGAGACTCTCTACCTTTTGTTCAAGGAGAAAGTTGTCTCTCTTTACAACAGACTTTCTCACTCAGAGACTCAGAAGTCAGCGAAGAATCAGGATCCAGAGGTTCCCTGAGGGAAACTGTGACATGAAGAGGAAACCACACAGGAACCAGCCCAGACCTCCAACTGCACCTGCTGCTGGGATGTTCCTTGTGTTCAAGGACCCTGAGCGCTCCCTGATGGTCAGAGATCTTCTTGCAGGGAGGTTTGTGTCAGGACTCACACTGACTTCCCCTCACTGTGTCTCTTGCACAGTAATACACGGCCGTGTCCTCGGTGGTCACGGAGCTCAGTTGCAGGGAGAACTGGTTCTTGGACGTATCTGGAGATGGTGGTTCGGCTCTTGAGGGAGGGGCTGTAGTAAGTGCTCCCACTATAACTTATGTACCCGATCCACTCCAGCCCCTTCCCTGGGGGCTGGCTGATCCAGCTCCAATAGTAAACACTAGTTGTGATAGAGAATCCAGAGACAGAGCAGGTGAGGGAGAGGGTCTGCGAGGGCTTCACCAGTCCTGGGCCCGACTCCTGCACCTGCACCTGGGACAGGACACCTGGGACAGAGAGAACACAGTGAGTCCTGGGCTCAGATGCAGGGTCCCCATCTCCTCACGTCTAAGCCCTGAGTCACTCACATCTGGGAGCTGACAGCAGGAAGAGGAAGAGCCACATGGGAGTCATGTCTTTCAGGTGAGGTCCTCGTTCCCGGGAAAGTATTCTCTAGGCTGAGGAGGCCCTGCATTTAAGTGAACCCCAACTGTGTGTATGTCTGGTGGCTGTGTGGGCATTTGCATATGGGAGGTGTCTGCACATACAAAGGGCAAGAGGTGAGGGAGGTCCTGATCTCTGGGGCTTCTTCTGGAAGGAGGTGCTGACTGTGCCCTCAGAGATCCAGGACCTCCCTGGGGTCCTGGTCACCGTGCCCAGGGTACTCTCTTTCTATACCAGGGGCTATGCTGTAGGAGGGGCGGGAAGTAGGATGTGGGAACAATCAGTGACTCCTTTGGGATAAAATCCAAGCTTCTGCTCCCATGGATATAGATATACTACAGGCCGGATGAAGGAAATTTGTGAAAGGGGCCAGGCCCCCAACGCCTCTGTGGCTGCGTCTGGAAGGATGTCCAGAAGGACATCTGGTCTAATTAGTATATTCGCTTTTATTATTATAGATGATTTAGACGTAGATAGATATAGATATAGATATAGATATACATATACATATACATATGGAAATAGACATAGATAGATCGTCTTTTCTTTTTTTTTTTTTTTTACGAGAGACATGACTTTATTAGAAAAATAAAAAAAGCAAACATAAACACTGAAGTGATGAGTTGGTCCTCAACAGATGCTTTGATGGATATGGCTGCTTTTGATTGCACTAGCCTTTTCCCGCTCTCGCCGCCATGCAGGGTCCAACTCAAAGCAGCGCCACATGTGTAGGGTCTCATCTGCTGCTGCTAATGCCACCGTGGCCCCATCTGGACTCATGGCCAAACTTAGGACCTGGGCTGTGTGACCTTTGAGCTCAGCAACCTTGACCATAGTTGAGTACTTCCAAATAACCAGCTGGTTGTGGGCAAAGCCATGACCTGAGATAAGTTCCTTGTGGTGGGAAGACCAGAGGATGGAGCACACCTGGGAGTGGGCATCCACAGCATTCATACAGGCCCCAGAGCAGACGTTCCAGATGTGAATGTGCCGATCACTGGTGCCCCCTCCAGTTGCCAGTATATTGGACTGCCAGGGACACCAAGCTAGAGCCTTGACAGCCCCTTGATGCTGAGTGAATGTCTGCAGGGGAACCCAGCCCGCCTCTAAAGCAGCACTAGGCCACACATTGACCAAGTTATCATTGCCACCACTGGCCAAATGTCGTCCATCTGGGGACCAGCGCAGCCCACACACTTCCTGGCTGTGACCACTCAGTGTGGCCACATGGTGTTCTGCTACCCGAACATTGTGGTGATGGATGTGACCAGAGCGTGAGCCACTGGACAGTAGATAGTGATTACAACACAGGGAGCCCACTCGGGCAGAATGACTGGTCATGTTCCGAAGCCGCTTCTGCTGCTGCACATCCCATAGCTGAACCTCTGGGCGGCTGGTGCCCACAGCCAGGTAGTTGCCCTCTTTAGATCTTCTTTTCTTTATCCTCACCTAAGAATATGTCCATTGATTTATAGATAAAGATGTAGATGTATTTGTAGATGTACTTAAAGGTATAGATATAAATATTGTTTTCTTTATCCATACCCAAGGATATATTCATTCATTTTTAGAGGGAAAGTAAAGGAGACAGATAAAAGGAGAGAAACATCGATGTAAGAGAGAAATATTGATCAGTTGTCTCCCATATATGACTCTACTATGAATCAAATCTGCAACATTTTTATGTATTTATTTATTTTAAAAAAATTAATTGATTTCAGAGAGGAAAGGAGAGAGAGATAGAAACATCAATGAGGAGAGAGAATTATTGGTTGGCTGCCTCCTTCATGCCACACACTGGGGATGTTTCCTGCATCTCCGACATGTGCCCTGACTGGGAATTGAACCTTTACCTCTTGGTTCATAGGTCGACAATCAATCTGTGAGCCATGCTGGCTGGGTTGTTCCTGCACTTCTAGGATTCATGGAGCTCCCTCTGTGCCTGGGCTCTGGTCAGCAGGATGCAGTCAACATCATAGGTGAGCAGGCCCCAGCCCTTCCCTCACTGCCCTCTGACCCCAGTCGCCATGGACTTGTCCACCATAATTCACTGTAGCTCACGGCCCCCTTGGAGGTTCCCTCAGCCAAGGTGTGAGATGTTGGAGGTGCGCTGAGCTCAGTGCTCAGCTAGTCTCAACCTGGCACAGGTGGAGCCCCCAGGACCTGACATCGCACGTGGGCACTGCACGTGGGCTCAGCAGGACGGTTCAGTAGCCCTGGCTCTGGTGTCTCAGGAAGGCCTGGCACAGGAGATGGGCATGAGGGGATGACATGGGGCTGCATTTAAGGCAAAACCTACCAGGGCAAGAAGGAGAGGGTTGACACATCAACCGGGACATCCTGTGCAGGCCCCATGGGGTGAGAGTGTGGGCGGCAGAGGACAGAGGGTGATGGTGGGTTGTGTCTGCAGAACTAGAGGCACAGCAGAGCTGGGTGGGACCATGTCTCCCTTCAGCAGGTTCTCAAGATGCAGATGGATTCTCCAGGGGAAGCAGGACAGGTGTCGGAACACGTCCTCCGGGACCAGGTTCTGAGACCCATGGGCAACAGGACCCAGCAGGGATGTGAAAGGGACAATCACTGGACCTCCTTCCTGCTTCCATAAGGGGACACCTTGAGAGCTTGGTCCATCTCCCAGGCACACAAGGGGCAGGGCCCACAGGGGTCAGACCCTACACCTCCAGGTGCAACCATGTCAGTGAGAGGAAATCGGCTAACTGCCCCCAAAGGGCTCCTCATGGGGCAAACCTCATCCCTAGTGATGTCTGAGGCCAAGACTCCGTGTTCCCCGGGAAGTTGACCAGATCTGACACACAGCCACTTCTGGCTTTTTCCCTGCAGAGAATCTAATTAAAGACACATAGAAAAAAGAGGAACTGCCCAGGGACACTAGGAGGGAAGAAAGCATTGACCCCAATAGGAAGCCTGCACAACCCTCCAGGGACAGCCTCTGAGCTGAAACTCTGGGTTTGCTGGTCCTGAGCGCCCCCTGAAGCCCAGCCCTGCTATCTCCTCAGGGAAGTTTGTGTCTGGGCTCACACTGACTTCCCCTCACTGTGTCTTGCACAGTAATACACGGCCATGTCCTCAGCTCTCAGGCTGCTGAGCTCCATGTAGGCTGTGCTCGTGGACGTGTCTCCGGTTATGGAGGCTCCGCCTTGGAACTTCTGTGCGTAGTTTGTGTTTCCACTTCCAGGGTAAACCCACCCCACCCACTCAAGGCCCTGTTCTGGGCCTGTCGCACCCAGTGCATGTAGTAG